CATGTTTCTGCCTGTAGAACTGACCCTTGTATGTGAAGTAGGTGGAATGAAGACACAGTTCAAACACACTTGGTCGATGCTGAGAGTGGTCCTGTTGCTGAGGTTGGTGTCATCCTGTAATCTCTTATGGACTACCTCCAACGCCTCCGTGACTGGGATGCAAGTGAAGAGAGATGTAACGTCGTACGACACCATGGTTTAATCTGCCTCCATAATGACATTTCTCACCTTCTCAACAAAATTCAATGTGTTCTGGATGTGGTGTTCAGAGCTGCCTATTAGCGGGTTGAGGATCAAAACCAGAAACTTTGAGAAGGTATAGGTGACCGAGTTGATCGTACAGACAATCGGTCTTTATGGTGACCCTGTTTATCTATCTTTGGTAAACCATACAGTTCCCCCGGAGAAGCTAGAAGAGGTGGCTGGGGAGGGAGGTCTGGGCTTCTCTGCTTAGGCTGCTCCCCCCGTGACTTGGCCCCGGATAAGCGGGAGAAGATGGGTGGATGGGAAACCATATAGACTTGGTGTAGACTCCCCTGGGTACAGCCTGTGGTATGAGGTCCAGTCAATAGCCTTGTCTTGTTCTAACTGCTTCAGACAGTCTATCACCCTCTTCCTGTAACCACTTCCTGGGTCTCGTTTCAGGGGCTCATAAGTATTTTCGGCACTGAGTAGTGACAAAATTTTCTCATGATAGTCTTTCTGGTTTAGCAATACTGTGCACCTACCCTTGTCTTCCGGAAGGATGATAATGTTGTGATTACTAAGCGATGTTGGATGCTGTGGGCTTTGCATTGCTGAGACAGGCCGAAACTTTCGTCCATAGTTTTTCTGCTTCCACATCTGCAGTATTATTGCTTCGAATTGCTGTTTCTGTGGCTGTGATCAGCTCCACTACTGGGATTTTTCTCTGCGTCACAGCAAAACTCAACCCTTTAGCAAGGATGCTTTTCTCTGTTTTTGGGTGAGCTGTCTGTCTGACAAATTTTTCACCTACTCTTCCACGTCCTCGGTGTGGCGTCCTTCTCTCTTCTAGCACTCTTTGCTCTGGTTTCCGACGTATAACAAGTAAGTCAAACTTCCTTTGTTGCCTGAATTAGAAGCATCTGAATTAGAAGCATTGAAAGTGTCTGTTGGATCCGCTCCTCTTCAGATTTTAGCACATTGGTGGTAAAAATTTGTTTGCCTCACTCATTCATTAAGCAGCTG